TATTTCGAGTAATATGTTGAAATAAAAAGGTCTTAAGGTCACCTTACTGCTGTCTATGAGATGCTGACGTTTTTATTTCAGGCTAATTGCTCGAAATATTCGAAATCAAAGTCATTTTTTAAAAATTCTTTTTAAAAAAGCTTGAAAACCCGTTTTTTTATCAAACGTCCACGAAATTTAGTTTTTCCGGTGGCCTGGGCCTTGCAATTGATCTATGTTGGGTTATATTAAGTGAATTACATCTTTTTCAATAACTTTGAGACCAAATTTCACCATTTTTTGATTCTTCGAAGCCCTAGTATAAAGTTGAAAAATTTATGGTTTTTGGGAAAAGGCAAAATCAGATTTTGACGCCTTTGTTCATTTAAGGTCATAACTTGGCGATTTTTGATCAAAATTAATTCTTTTTTTCAGAAGATGTGCTTGAGAAGTGTACCTTTATTTCAACGGTTAAATGGTGCCTGTAAGTCTAGTCTAACTGACGCAATTCAATTCTAAAAAACGTTTCTGGGTTTTTACCGGTCATACCTTATAACCTCTACAAGGATTTAATTGCTACTTCCTGCTACTTAAATATCGTTATCTCGATGATTTCTTGACAACGACGCCATGAGAATTTCGTTTTGGTTTATTTATTGAAGATGGTTTCGATTGCCTATGAACTCTTTTGAATAATAAAGAGTAAATATCCTGGAATAAACACACCAATCGAACTGATTCAACATCATTTGTGGTCAAAGAAATCCGTGATAATTCAGAATGAACTAACAACTCGAGCATGGTGCAAATTAACAGAGATTATTACGTCTTTCCCAGTTTTGAATTTAAAAATGAATCTGAAAAAGATCACAAAGGAGTGAATTTACTGTTTAGGTGTGAAGCTTCAGACTCAATTGTACATGCAGTCAATTATTACATTCAAAGCAAACATCCTGGTCTCAAATTTAACTGGGCTGCTTCAACACTAAATCCATATATCGAGCAAGTTGATGCAATCAAAACAGCGATTGGCGATGATAGATTCATCAAGCATGTGAAATTCTATGATTGATTTTTTCAATAATTGTTTTTTGGTGATGTCGTTTTGGTTTTTGGTTTTGGTGGCTTCATCACAAACACTTTCAGCCCACTCATCCAATGACTAATCTATTTTTCGACTTCTCATCCATTCTCATCCATTCGAGGTCACTAGCAAATCTGGTAATTCTGAGCTTTATACTTTGCGAAAGTGAACGTGATTTAATTGACCAAATAACTAAAGCTCATATTCAAAAGGAAAGGAGTCTACAATCATCAATTTTACCTGCAGCAGTTATTCCCAAACAATTGATAAAATTTAAAGCAAGATCCTAGTTCAAATATTTTCGCAAATTGACTATTGAACACAACTTAGACAATTATTATATATTTATACGATAAGGCAATTATTTTTGAAGACAAAATAAGAAGACCCTAAGAGGGACTCAGAATGATTGAAAAATGGCATAACTATTTCTTTGAAAACCATTTTCTATAATATTTAAACTTTTATGCTAATGTGAATAAATATTTGACAAGATATCAAAGTAAACTACTATCTATTTGTTGAAACAAAAGAGAGAAAGACATGTAGTACTTACCAAAAAAATTGTTCAAAAATAGTAGTCCGAAGGTATACTTGTTTATTGATATAAAAACTAGATTAAATTGCTGATGATGGCTAAATAACAATGTTGCATTAGTTTAAATAATTTGTGAATTCTGTTATGTAAATAGCTTGACTTATAATAAAGAAAATGAAATTGAACAATGAATGAAAACATGCAAAACTTTTACTGCATTACAAAATCAAAAAACTAATGAAATTATGTAAGTAGCCATTAAATTCAAATAAAAATTTAACTAGTAAGGCACTGTAGACAATTTAATTATATAATCCAATGATGAATCCGGTTATAAACTTTGCTTAATTAACATGAACAATCAATAATGCACAATAAAATTGTTAAAAATGGATTTTATTAAGCTTAATGTTGAATAAATCGTAATGTATAAACGCTATGCATAAACCTGTGGTAACCTCAACGGATTTAATAATTGCAGTAACAACGAATGTGGATGTATTAAGTTTTTAACACCCAATTCAATATAAATCTAATAGAAGCTACTTGCTAATTATAAATATGATGGAAGCGAAATTATATGCTATATATGCAGATACAATTCGCGTCTGCCATAGAATTAAAAATAAAAATTGAATTGAATTGAATGATCTATAAATGTTTATCAGCACATCTTTAATACTCAGGAAACGCGAGAATACGGTTGAGGTTTGGCGCCATAATAGTGGCAAAATATTCTTAATTTAAAATTAACAATCTTTGTATTAGCCAGATGGAAAGGCATGGAATTTTATGTAGATGAAAAATTTAAGCGAGGAACAAAAAAAATCATTTTTTTGTTGAATTTGTTTGAACTGTGATGTTAATATTCATAGTTGTAAATTACTTTCTTCTTGAAGATTTCCTAACAAGAAATAACGTCACTACAATGATACAATGAAATGTTAATTATAAAACAAAATGAATTGTAGACTAATGAATGAATCGAGTTGATTATAACCTCTACAAGAATTTAATTGCTACTTCCTGCACCTAAAAACATAAAACAATCATGAGTTCAAAATTACATTCAAGACTCTTGAATCAAGAGCAAGCAAATGACTAACAATGAAACTACTCTTACTCAGATCTAGAAGCATTTTCTTGTCGCTTTTTAGCAAAAAATTGTTCCTTCTGACGAGATACATTCTCATGATTATAACTACGGATGTTGAACATAATCGTTGAAAATCGATAAAATTTTAGAATAAAATAGATGAGTTGATAGTTATTCACTTTAAGTAGCGAATATCCAAATGAAATTGTCAAGCAGCTTGTGCTGATAGTTAATCAATTTACAAATCAAATTATTTACTCAAGGTTATCCACGGTTTGTTTAGCTAGGTGTTTCCCTGAACAATATAAACAGATCCATATTCCATATGTGAACCTGACCCATTGTGGATTGACAGCACCACATCCAAAACAACTCTAAATTGAAACAAAATATCAATTTCAGAAACTATCTAAACCAAAGGTCCTGAGCTAAAGGACCTTTGCTTTATAAAATAGCATTTTCCGCGAAAATGTACATTACAAAATAAAGTCCCAAACTGAAAACTGGAAATTATCGCAGATCAACGAATTATTTTGTTGATCATGGTCCAATTTCTTGATATTGTTTAACTTTTCCTAACTCCACCAGCAACTTTTTTCAATAGGAATTGGTAAGCATAAGAAAAATATCTCTCTCCATGACCATTGTTGGTCATTGCTTTGTAGATCGATAGAGCCAAAGCTCCCATAGGAGTAGGGGCATCAGTTAAACTAGCACAAGACTGAGAAATACCTAAATCTTTAGCAATTAGTTCAACTTTGAAGCCAGGCTTATAATCTCTAGCAGATGGCACATTTTCCATTATACCAGGAACAGGATTGTAGGTATCAGAGCACCAGGTACGACCAGAACTGATGTTGAGAATTTCGGTCATCATTTTGAGATCTATACCAAGGCCTTGAGCTAAAGCAAGGGTAGTGATGTTCGATATGATTATTTTTTATATATCGATATTTTTGATATTGAGGGCTTTAATATCGATATATCAAAAAATATCAAAAAAACTTTTTTACATTTAAATTTGACTCATTTGATTTGCTGAAATGTTTTTGTCACGCAGAGTTGCAAAGTCACATGTGCTTAGCCTTAATTCAATTATCAATTCAACATTTCTAGCTGTAAAACACAAATATTTTCAAGACGAGAAAGATTGTTCATGAAAAATTGGACGCATTAATGTCCAAAGGTGCAACTTTAACCATTTTTTCAATGTTTTTATATCGATACCATATCGTAACTCATATTGATATTTTCTTGGAAAAAATATCGATATATATCGGTTGTTTCGATATATTAGCACATCACTAAGCAAGGGTTTCACTAGTTCCAATCATTGATATGGCAAGCATCATATTGTTGCAAATTTTTGCAGCTGAACCGGCACCAGTGTCACCACAATGGATAACTCTACGTCCCATACAGAGTAATAAGGATTCAACTTTTTTAACCAAATGGGCTTTACCACCACACATAAAGGTTAGAGTACCAGCATTGGCAGCAGGAACGGCACCAGCAACAGGAGTATCTAAGAAATCAACTCCAGCATCATTGCTCAATTGTAGTAGCTTTTTGGATGTATTTGGGTGAACAGTTGAACAGTCCATCAAGATGGTTCCTTTCTTAGCTTTAGTGAGTAATCCATTTGATCCTGAGAAAACTTCGATCACATAAGGATCAGCAGGAACCATTGTGAACACTCGATCACATTTTTAGTTCCGGTTAGCCATAGGAGAACCCATGAAACCTAGTCCAATCCATCCAACATGCGCTTGACATTTTTGAGCTAAAGGTTTAAATTTGAATCGAGATCAATGAGAGTTTGGCGAGAAACATTGAACAAAATTGTCTTTTCTTCGTTCATTGGTTGTTTATTTTGGTAATTTCACTTTTACTTACAATGTAATCCTTGGTTCAATGAATTGCAAGTCAATTTAACGATACTTCTTAAAGTGATCATGATAGTTAATTAATGATGAATTAATTATTAGTTGTTAATTAATGAATTCAAATAATGTGTTCAATAGTTCCTGATATTGCCTAACCAGAAATAACGTAACTTTAATTATACAATGTTTAAGCTAATAATGATAATTATAAAACTTATGAATTGTAACCCTATTAATGAATAAAGTTGGTTATAACCTCTTCAAGAATTTGATTTATACTTGCTGCACTTAAAATCGTTATCTCGTTAATTTTTTGTATTCCAAGCAAATATCGATGTTACATTGCTCATGAACTCTTCAAGGTGCTAAAGATTCAATCTTCTGGAATAAATATTCCATTCATGCATGTATACTAATTGATTTATTATCATTTGCGCTCGAAGAAATGCGTGATTCACCTGTGAACTCTTTTGAATAATAAAGAGTAAATCTATTGGAATAAACATACCAATCGAACTGATTTAACATCATTTTTGCTTGCAAAATTCGTGATATTATTCAGAATGAACTATTAACTCGAGCATAGTGGCAATTGTCACAGAGACGTGACAGAGATTGTCACGTCTTTGTCAGTGTTGGATTTAAAAAGTGAATCTAAAAAAGATCTCAATGAAGTGAATTCAATGTTTTGGTGTAAAGCTCCCGGCTCATTTGTACTAGGTGTTCGGATGAACTATCCCTACATTGGCGCGTTTATAACTCAGCAACTATAAATACTAGAGAGATATGATATAAGCCATTCGATAGAAAAAATGTAAAAGTTTTGTATGGCGCTACTTTGGAAATTTTTCGAATACAGAGTGTTTTTCGGTAAATCGTCAAAGTTGAAAAAGTGTCACATTTTGCTGTGCGTGATTTTTTCTAATTTTTTATCAGGCCATATTGAAGTTCCAAAGATTTTATTTCCGATGGTCTTATGCTGAAAATGCTCCGATAAATGGTTCTCAAG